GTATGTAATTTATTTCTAGAAAACCCTTTTTGTTATATTCCATGGAATGCTCTTAACGTCCCGATAGCAATGAATATATTAAATTCTTTGACAATAAATACATACAAAATGTATCTCTGGAAGCCGTAGCGCTGTAAAAAGCACGACCAATCAAATAACTGGATGGCCTACCTGCCTGTCAGCCTTCCATCTGTGCACAAACTTATCTCGTGCCCTCATTGGTCATGTTCGCGTTTGTGTGTGTTGGAGGAGGGGCTCTGTAAGGAAGTCTGAAGGAAGTGGCAGATTGTTTTCTGCTTGTGTCCTTTCAAATTCTAGCGCACTCGAGCTGGTTTCTCCATTCTTACCTACCCTACCTTTAATGTTTAAATAAATGTGTATTTTCTCAGAGCCACAGCAAAAGCAGAGGAACTTCTGGATATGAATCGGATGGCAAAGAACCACGGAGAGAGGTAAACAAAACGTTGTTGTTGTTGTTGTATTTTATTCCCTCAAACACCTCGGACCTTTTTTGCTTTACCTAACCTTTCATATAGACAGGGGATGATAAAAGAATGGCTCCAACATGTATTAAATTGCATACATTTCTCTTGAAGTACACTATTTGATCCCTTGTGTCACTTTCTGATCCTCCCTTTGTCTTCGCCGCCTCAGGATTATTCAGCCAGTGACATTCCTGCGTCAGACCACGATGGTTTTGATGAGGATAATTTGGACATGGATGAGTTTGTGACGGTGGATGAAGTCTGCGACGATGAGACCCCGTCTTCCAGTCACCAAACTCATGGCTCCTCCTCCTCCTCCTCCAGGACGTCTTCGAGAGCCAGGAGAGAGAGGCACAGCTCCGCCGACAGACACTCTTCATCGCGGTATTCAAAAGATGGCAAAAGATCTGCCATTTCCTCCTCTTCGTCGTCCAGGTCGACGAGAGGCCCAAGCTCTTATCGCTCCGAGTCACCGAAAAAGTCCAAAAAATCCTCATCAGAGCCCACTAAATCCTCCGCCAGTTCCAGTAAGACCTCCCCTTCTTCCCCTGCTCAGAAAACACAACGGAGCAAAACTAAATCTCCATCCAAAGCATCAGAAACCGCGTCCTCTGGCTCCCGTTCATCTGCAGCAACTGTCGAGGCTTCAAAGGAGACTCATTCGGAGAGAGAGGTGGTGAAAGACAATCAGAACGCAGTGGCAACGTCCGACCACAAGGTGTCAGCAGAGGACGTTCCTGCAAAAACTGTCAAGTCAGAGACAGAAATGGAAACATCGTCAGAGATGCGTCCACCTCTGCGGGAACAAGGGTTAGAGTCAAGCGGAGAGGTTGAGGAGGATAAGAAAAGCAAGGAGGGAGAGAAATACCAAATCCTGGATGAAACTGCTGAACAGATGGAGGGTGGGGAACAAGATGGTGGATCTGAAGCCAAACCGACTGACCCCGAGGGAGAGAAGGAGCAGAGCGTTCAGGTTCTGGACACATTTGGAGATGAAGGCAAAGCACAGGAAATGGAAGTGACCGAAGACCAAACGGCAACTTGTGAACAGGAAAGCTCCACCGTAGACAAACCGAGCGAGGACGACAAATCTATTAAAGATCAAGAAGCTAATAATGTAAATACAGGAAGCGAAGAAGCTTCTGTGCAAATGGGAGAAGAGATGAAGGGCAAAGAAGTCCACACCCTTCCTGACAAAGATCTTGAAAGCGGAGACTTTGGATTAGACACCTTTGAGATTTTAGACTCTATAGGCGATCAGACGGCGACAGGAGACCTGGAAACCCCCGGTGATCAGATGCCTAAAGAAGAAATGGAGTCCGTGGAGGAGGAGGAGGAGGAAGCGACGTATCGGGTGATTGACTCTCTTGAAGATCAGCCGACGGACAACACGGGGAGAGGGGAGGCGAGCAAAAACGATAAAGCATCGACGAAGAGCATTCCCTCAACCAGAGTGTCCAGAAGTGAAGCTTCGGACAAAGACGCCACCGCGGAGGACGTTGTGTATCAGATAATCGATTCGGTTGAAGATAAACCAGTTCAAGATGTCGCCGCCGGCACAGAACAATCTGGTAGAAGACGGAGTGCAAGAGGAAAGAAGGAGGCGGAAGTGTCTGAGGAGACTACGTACGATATCATAGACTCCGTGGAGGATGCCATCGATGAACCGACTGCAACTCGATCGACCAGAGGAACGAGAGGACGATCGGCTAAGAGAGACACGCCAGCACGGAGGAGGAACCCTAGCACACCACCGAAAAAGAGTGACGTGGCTGTGGGAGAGGATGCGACCTTAGCAGAAGCGAAGGACGAGGTTGCTAAGGACGAACCGCCCGCTACAAAACCAAAAGGAAAACGAGGAAGACCAAAGAAAATGACGAAGAAAGAGGCGGCAGCGATGAAGAAAGCCGAGAAAGAGGCAGCCGCCGAAGAAACGACGACGACGTACCAGATCCTCGATTCTGTGGAGGACGAGACGATAGACGAGACGTGTGAAAACAACGAGAAACAAACGGCGTCCATCGCTCCTAAAGACGAGGAGGAGGAAGAGGAGGAGCCTATGTATCAGATCGTGGATTCTCTGGAAGAAACGTCTGAAAAAGTGGAGGAGAATCCAACGACTGAATCCCAGGGTGACGCGGCTACATTTGAAAAGACTAACGAAGAAGACCCCCCGGAGAAAGACATAACGGGTCTGGACGAGGTGAGCGATGAGGAGGAGGATTACCCCGACGACCACGCCGAGGAGGAAGAGCTGAGGAGGCGACATGTGGCCGCCAAAGAGAGGCAGATCTCAAAGGAGAAGGAGGAGAGGAGGAGCAAGGAGAGAGAGGAGAGGAGGAGCAAGGAGAGAGAGGAGAGGAGGAGCGAGGAGAGGAGGAGCAAGGAGAGAGAGGAAAGGAGGAGCAAGGAGAGGAGGAGAGAGGAGAGGGAGGAGAGGAGCCATAGCAACAGCAGAGGAGGAGGAGGAGGAAGAGCGAGGAGGGAGAAGGAGGAGGAAGAGCTGGTGACTCTGGATGAGGTGGGCGAGGGAGAGCTGCAGGCACTAGTCACTCTGGATGAGTTCGTAGAGGAGGCGGAGCTAAACACACCAGAGACCCGCCCACTGTGCCAGGAGGACCAATCAGAAGACTTGTTAAACCCAGAGGTAAAAAAAAGATCAACATTTATTATTATTTTTTTCTCCCAGGGAAGCAAACATTTAGAGAAACATAAACTACAGCTGTACGAACTCGGGATGGGAATTTTAAAGCAAATGTATATTCGGATATTCGACCCCCAAAAGAAATGTACATATCCTAGAATTTTTTTTTTTTAAATCAATAAATACATGTTCAAATAAGTATAGAAACCAAGTCGAACAGCATAACGGGTTAGGGTAACGTAACCCGTGACAACAGAG